TCTCTCTCTCTCTCTCTCTCTCTCTCTCTCTCTCTCTCTCTCTCTTTCTCTCTCTCTTTCTTACTTCCAGACATACCTTCACTCTCCAAAATTAAATTCACTCAATTGGTTTTTTTCTCTTCATATTGACATATGGTTGATTTCATTTAAATAACACAGTCTTGGATTCACAGTATGGTCAAATATCCCACAACATTGCCCTCTTTTGTATAAATAAAAAGGAAATATTTTAAATTTACTGAAGCTATTTAGCCAAGTATTCTAGAATGTCCAGCTTGGCTGTATTTGTCAGTTTTAGTAGTAAGTATTTCAGAGTTCAAAGTTCTGTAAAATGTTTATGTCAGTTTCATATGAATGAATGTCCTGGGTGGTTTGTAGCCAGGAACTGATCTTTTTGTGGTGTTTGTCATCTTGGAGACACTATCACAATCTAGGTGCATTCCTCATTGCAAAGCCCCATCATCTTCTTGGAGACCACAACGGTGTCCTCTTTTTGCAAAAAGCCTGTTGGTAGAAGAGGTTGGAGGTGGGTTGTGCCACATGAGCAATTTACTCTTTTTTCGGGTACATTTTCTCTTTTTTTGCATTAAGTTTATTTTTATCATGCTATACATTTTCTCTGCTTTCCCCCCTTCCTCTCCTCACCCCTTCTACCCTCTACCAAGACCATCATGCTCCAAATTTACTCAGGAGTTCATGCCTTTTTTCCTTTCTCTGTAGATCCAAGTGTATCTCTCCTGGGGTCCTCATTGTCTAGGTTCTTTGAGATTGTGGACTCTAGGATAATAATTCTTTGCTTTATATCTAAAATCCACTTATGAGTAAATACTATATATATGGGTCTTAGCTACATCACTCAATATGGCTTTTCCTAGATTAATTCATTTGCCTGAAAATTTCAAAATATCATTTTTTTTACTATTGTGTAGTAAAAGATTGTGTAAAAGTACCACATTTTCTTTATCCATTTTTTCAGTTGATAGGCATCTAGGTTGTCTAGGTTATGGCCATTATGAGGAATGCTGATACAAATATAGTTGAGAAAATATCCTTGTGGTATGCTTGAGCATATGAGCATATACTCACAATTGGTATTGCTGAATCTTGACGTAAATTGTTTCCTAATTTTTTGAGATATTGCCATACTGATTTCCAAAGCAGCTATACAACTTTGGACTTCCACAAGCAATGGAGATTGTTCCCATTACCCCACATCCTATCCAGCATAAGTTGACATCAGTATGTTTGATCTTGGCTATTCTGACAGGTGTAAGATGGATTCTTAGAATTGTTTTGATTTGCATTTCTCTGATGGTTAAGAATGATGAACATTTCCTTAAGTATCTTTCAGCCATTTGAGCTTCATCTCTTAAGGGGTTTCTGTTTAGGTCTGTACCCCATTTTTTATTGGATTATTTGTTCTTTTGATGTCAAGTCTCTTGAGTCTTTTGTATATTTTGGAGATCAGTCCTTTGTCAGACGTGGGGTTAGGAAAGATCTTTTCCCATTCTGTAGGTTGACATATTGTCTTACTGATCATGTCCTTTGCTTTTGAGAAGCTTCTAAGTTTCAGGAGGTCCTGTTTATTAATTAATGTTCTCAGTATCTGTGCTACTGGGGTTATAATTGGGAAGTGGTCCCCCTTATCAATGCATTCACATGTATGTCCCCCTTTCTCTTCTATGAATTTCAATTTGACTTGTTTTATGTTCAGGAAATCTTTGAACCATTTGAACTTGAGTTTTGTGCATGGAAATAGATACAGGTCTATTTGCATTCTTCTAGAGGTTGGTATTAGTTATGCCAGCACCATTTGTTGAATATACTTTATATTTTTATTTTATATTTTTAGCTTGTATATCAAAATTCATGTGATTGTAGGTGTGTAGATAGTTATTTAGGTCTTTGCTTCCTCTCCATTATTCTTCCTGTCTATTTTTAGGACAATATCAGGCTGTTTTCATTACTGTAGCTCTTTAGCAGAATATCATGAGAGAATTGTCTATATTCTGTCAATCA